AAGTGTAATTGTAAGAAATAAAGTTAAGCAATGGATGAAAAAGCACAATGTCTGTCACATAGCAAACATTCAGCTAATGGCAGCCCAAATGTCTGTGGAGCCAATACGATCAGGAAAAGGGAAATAATGTTCACTTTGAGTTAGTTTTAGGGGCAACGCCACTGCGATGTTTCTCAACACCTGTTGTTCCATTTAGCCACAAACTGAATGTTTAGTCCAGGACACATACCCAATGCAAAGAGCAAGGAACAGAAAATTTTGATAATACCAGATAATATACTGGGCCATAAATCATACTCCTGTTGGAATCCTTATTACAAAGTATAAAGTGACCTTATAATCAGGACCTTCGACAGACTTTCTGGAGGGGATGATTTCAGTGTAAAATGACTTGGACATGTCCCATCCCCAGGTGTTCATTAAAACCAAGAAATCATCATGGCATTGTTTATCACCTGGTCCCCAAGATCTTTTATTTTAAGCAAGAATCAACTGTACCTGAAACGCTAAGGCTCTTGGGATGTGCAACTCTTATTAACAGAGTTTGTGAATTGTCAAAAAGGAATCAAGAGGTCTCTATGGAGAAAATTAACATAGATTTATTGTGACAAACAGTAGGACGATGATTTCACTTTCTGTTGGCAGGGCCATCCCAGGGGTCTTCAAGCCAGCAGAGGTATTTCTTCTGGACACGGGTATTAACCAGTGGTTAATTAAGGAACTAAAAATTTTAAAGTGAAACAGTTCTTACAGCATCAGAGAGCTGAAGATCGGGTTCCTGATTAGTTTGTCTGGTCTTGATGCATTTGCTGCCTTATTCATTTTAAATAGTTTTTCACCAGTTTCACCAGAGGTGGGATTAGTGATTGAGACTTGGGAATTCGTTTCAGGTAATTAGTTAAAAAGTGAAAAGTCAAATAGATTTCTTTAACAGGTTTAATGGTTTAACAGGTTGATGAGCTACTTAATGCCCACAATTTTCTTCTCTGGGGACTACTAGAATTTTAAAGGACCTCAAAAATTGTAAAAACTACCTCCTCTTTTTTACAGATGGAAAAGCTGAGCCAAACTGAGGTTAAATGACTTGTCTAAGGTCATCTAACTAGTTCTGTAATTTTCCCGTTTCTTAGTCTTACTCCCTTTAACACTTCATCCTCCCCCCTCAACATTGCATTCCCCACAACTACCTCTCTGATAATGTTTCTTGCATTTACCCTTGTTTTATGAAATCTCCTGTGCCTCCAATTATGAGATGGAGGGTCTTTGCCAATTAGTAACCCCTCACCACTAATTCGCCACTACATTTGGGGCAAAGAAATGAGGGAAGTGGAACAATTTTAAATTTACTGTGATCTTTGAGAAAGCTTTATCTACACCTGGGAATTGCTGTTAGACAATTAAGGTTAGTAAAGCTCATTGAATTTCTCAGAGGAAAGGTGTTATTTGAATTATTACCAGATAATTATTGTTAAAAATAACAATAATGTAAAAAATAGGAACTTTGCATGTTAGAGATATTTTCATTTTGAATTTCTAAAGATTGGTGGGAACCCAAGGGGACCTAGACACTCCCCCACCCCACAATGTGCTCAAAACCAGAAACTCCTTGAATTCTATTTAATGTCTCATGACCTGACAAACTGGCCCAGAATCAGAAGCCAGTCATGTCAGTCAGCTTTTATCCAAGTTATTTGGCTTCACCTCCTTCAAAAACAACCCCCAACAGGAAGGAGAGTGTCAGACCTAAGACCTGTGGTACCCAGACCAGTAGCATTAGCATTACCTGGGAGCCTGTTATAAATGCAGAATTGCAGACTCCACCCCAGACATGCTGAATCAGAAATCCTGAGTGATTCATTTGCCTATTAGAGTTTAAGATTGATAGAAGACATTCTTGTCTTCATTTCGAAAGGAAGTAGGAAGGAAATACACTTATTTATAGTTTCTGAAACTGTTCCTTCACCTGAACTGTATGCTTCCAAATCCTCCCGGTGGCTCTGAACTATCATGGAAATAACTAAGCATCTTCCTTGTGCTGAGATCACAGGGGGAACTAGCAATGTGCCCACGCCATGTTGAAACTATTACTATATAGTAAAAAGAGCACTGGTTTAGAGTCAGAAAGATCTGGGTTTAGAATCTGGCCTCACCATCCTCTTGCTTACTAATATTAAGGTATATGAGCTCAGAGTCTCTTCTTTATCTATACAATAGGCATAATATTAATACATATGCATAGCTATGAGGATTAAATGAGAATATATTTATATATAAAGATACCTAGTGCGGTCCCTGATAAAATTAAGGCAAAAATAAGTGTTAGCTATTATTGTCACTGTTATTTTATTTTTGCATGTGTGTGTGTGCCTTTAATCATGAAAGCAACCTCTAATTGTAGAATGATTTGGTGTAATTTCTAAGGAATGGGAAAGGCCATGCTGAAATAAGACCTCTGCAGAAAGTTCCTTACAGTGATATGTGGTGGTGTGTTACACAACAGCTCTGCTCTCTAAGGGCTTCCGGGACAGATCTACAGAGACATCAACAATGAAACAGGCTGAAGAGAAGTGACCCTCTGTCTGTTCTGTCTCTGACACCATCCAACAACTTGCCAGCTGGGTTCCAAGAGCAGATTCTTTATTACAGTGATGATGTAAGAGGCAGAGAGGACATGTGGATTTCCAGATTCCAGGGAGGATTTGTGGCACCAGCAGCCCCTCAAAATTATCTTTTGACTTAAAAACTGACTACATTGGATATGAAAGTCATTAAAAGGAAATAAATATGAAACCCCATGAAGTCATTTCCACTGGGTCTTTTGTAGAGTCTAACCACCCTTTAAGCAATAAAACATGCCACACCATGCAGTAATACAGTAGCGCTGATTAACAGACCCTCAGGTGGGTACTAAGGCAAGAGGAGAAATAAGAAGTGAGGATAGGTGACAATTAGCCAAAAATGGAAGTAAGATCATAGCAGCAGGCTGGGGGGCGAGAAAGAAGTGTTTGATTAAAAGGACAGGAAGAGTATGGCTCTAATTATAAAATGCACAAGTTAAATAAAATGTTAGGTATATTTAAAATGTCCTCTTGTCTAATTACATACAGGATTAGTATGTTGCTAGAAAACATTTCATTATACTGTATTAGACATATTGATCAGTGATTCCCTTTATCATTTTAGTGGACTTACGGGGTGGGTGGGGGGAAGAGAAGGAAGTTCTGACGAAATGTTGATAATCTCCAGCTACATGATGAGTTAGAAAGAACAATGACGATCTCTGAAGCCCAGTTTGCTGTTTATGTGGCTGCTGGGGTGCTGCTCTTTAATGGATGTCTCAATGCATAGCATGGCTCCACCACACAGGCCAAAAAGAGTTTGATTAATACCACCAGGGTTTTCCCCAGGAGCACAGCAAGTCAAGCACTCACCTGGGAGAGGCAGATGAAGTCTGTACTGTAGGCTAGCATTTAAGGGGGAGGGGGAGCTTTTCTGGGAAGTAAAAATGACTGAGATCCCTGGAAGAGTCAGTTTTCCTCACTCAGGTGAACACTGTTATCCCATGGCATGTTCTGTTGGGCTTTTCATCTTTAAGTGAGAGAAAATGATTCTGTTTGAAGAAAGGATAGAAAGGAGGTTAAACAATTAATGTTTCTTCCATCGCAAGAAGAGAGTAAGACAAGAAAATGAGAATAGACTGAGGGCAGTCATCTGCACATTTCTACAGAAATTAGTATAATAAGGAAATAAAAAGCAAAAATCCAAATAAACCTAAAGCATGACTATTGAGCAGAATTAGGTGGGAAACGAAGTGTTAATTAATGTGACAAATAGCAAGATTGCCAGTCCTCTATGTTTTTAAGTAACTAACAACTTTATCCATAGAATTATTGCAGCCTGTTCTCTCTGAGAGCTGCAGTTGAATCCACAGCTTTTCCAAAGCATGAGAAATTTCATTCTGATGTTCAGCCTGAGTTTATCACTCCAGTGGTATTTACAATATTGTCATAATTATTTCTGCTGGTAATGTTAGAAAAATTTGCTTCCTTGTTTTTTTAAACCCACCCTCATTTTTAAGACATTATTTAACTATAAAAAGATGTCTATTGGGATGGGGATGTGGCTCAAGCGGTAACGTGCTCGCCTGGCATGCGTGGGGCACTGGGTTCAATCCTCAGCACCACATAAAAATAAAATAAAGATGATGTGTCCACCAAAAACTGAAAAATAAATATTAAAAAATTCTCCCTCTCTCTTCTCTTCTCTCTCTCTCTTTAAAAAAAAGATGTCTATTCCGTTTATCAAAGCAAATAAATGAAAAAAAAATTATTTCTTGGTAGCTAATATATTGTTGCAGGTTACTTACCCAAACCTCTCACTCTCTCTGGTCCTGTCATTATTGATGGTCTGCTCCACCTGTTGGTGCCAAGTAAACACTGATAGATAGTTAGGACATGTTGTCTTTTATTTTAGTTTTCCTTGCTCAGCCACTAAAAATATGGCCTTAAGCAAGCCTGTTTCCTTAATCTCTTCATCTGCAAAATTAAGATGGTGTTGTAGATGAGCTTTAAGGTGTCTCCATTTTATCCTTAGGTTCCATGACTCTAAGCAAGATTCTTTATTGCTTTCTAATTCAGTTCAGCAGACATCAGCTAGGCACAAACTCGTGCACACTACAGAGTACTATGATAGAAGCAGGGAAAAGTGATTCCTATCCCAATCATCATAAAGCAACATAGCCAACACCTCTATAGCAAAAGACAGGTTAAGAAGAAAAAAGCATAAGAAATTTATCATAGTCTTAACATGACATGGAGCCTTCAGATTAAAGATGTGAAGACTCATGGTAAGGTGTCCATTTTCATGCTTAGGTTCAAGGAAGCACAGACAGCTGTGTAGGAATATGATTGGACAAAGGGGTATGACCTAATGGTAGTAGATTGAGAGCAGAAACCCAGCAAGGCCTGTCTGTTCAGATTCTTGTTGGCTTTTCTTTGCAGCAGTCCTTCCTCTGCATGGACAGGACCCCTCTTGAGTTCGGGGTTTATGATCTACTCTCAGACAAGGTAGGTCAGAAAATTTCTTTATGGCCAGCTCCAAGACAAAGACACAAAGGCAGGGGAATTTAGGGTAATAATTTTAGGCTTTATAGCTTGCTTTTTTGGAAAATGGATTCTGGTTTCCATGATCTACCTCGCAGAAGAGAAACTCTAGTTCTTGTGGCTTGCCTCAGGGGAGAAAGAGGAGCAGGAGACAGGTAGAAAGGAGGGGTTCAGAGGGAAACTGTGCTTCATCAGCTGCTTTGGAGGCCTTCACTTTGGGATATAGTTTACTGAGCCCCAACAGAAAACAGTAAAAACTATCTCTGCTTTCAAGGGAACTCAAATTACACAAATAATTATTAGAGTTTATAGAATGTGCAAAGGGAGTGGTACATGTAAGTGTTCAAAAGGGCACTTCCCTTTGAGAAGTGCTTCCTAAAGTCATTGGCATTTAAATGGCCCATAAAGAAGATGTTCATAGACATTGGAAAATGAAAGAAGTTGCCACAAACATGGTGGAAAAGAGTGGGCCATCATTGGACTGCAGAGATAAGAATGGAAAATTAGGTTGGGAATACATACAGCAGCCTTGAATGCCAAGCAAAGAGGATTTTGAGGAAAGGAAGAATGTGTTTAGACTGGTATTTTAGAAAATTAATGTAATGCTAGTGTGAAGATGGGATAAAGGTAAAGATAAATTGGAAAAATGAAGGCAGTTAAGAGCAATTCACTGAAGTCATGGTAGTGGGTAGCAAAGGGATACATATGTATTAGGTATAGAAAACAAGTATTGAAGAAATGACTAGAATAAAATGTCACAGGATTTGGCAACTGATTTTGTGTGTGTGTGTGTGTGTGTATTGAGAGAGAGGGGCGGGGAGGGAGAGAAGGAGGAGGAGGAATTAAAAATGATGCCTCCATTGTAGTCCCAAGAAAATGGATAAAATGGGACCAATGACACGACATGAGAAGACTAGCAAAAGAACAAATTTTGAGAGAAAGGCAATGAATTCTGTCCTAAACTTTTTTGACTTGTATTGGAAGAACCTATATAATATTTGATGGTGATGTAAGCTTCTCAAAATTAGAGACTAGAAGTTATTCAGCTTTTGCAGGTGTCTAATATACGCTGTATGAACACAGAATGAACAAAAAAAATGAATGTACCAGTAACCAGCTCTTATGTAAAATGTGGGTCTGAAACTCTTCAGACAAGCAAGAACTAGAAATAGCAATGTGGACACTCTCTATGGAGAAGCACTTGTTGAGATCCTGGAGGACAGGACCAAACAAAGCCTGAATGAAGAATCTTAAGGAATGTTGATATTAAGGGAATGGGAGAAGGAAAACAAATCAGTGTTGGAGGCAGAACAACCTGAATTGTAGGAGGAAAATCAAAATAATAAGGTGTCCCACCCATTGTATAAGGAAGAGAGTTTCAGGAACACAAAGGTCACTGAAGCCCAATGTGGCCAAAATGACAGGCCTACGAAAAGATCAGGGACCTGAGGCAGCAGACAATAGTCACTTAGTAGCCTCTCAGGCTAAACTCCTTAGAACCAGAAGATAGGAAAGGAAATAAAAACTTTGCAAGGGAGAACAAAGGGAAGGCAAGAACTCAGAACATGACCAGGTCAGAGCGTAGAATAATGACTAAGCAATGGAGAGGGAGGGAGTAAAAAATACCAGGCATGTGATGTACATACACAGTGGAATATTATTTAGCTTAATTTTAAAAAGGAGGAAATGCTGTTTTTCACCACAGCTTGGATGAACCCAAGGAACATCATGTTAAGTGAAATAAACCAAGAAAAAAAAGGCAGATACCACATGATTCACTCCAAAACAATTGAACTCACTGAAGCAGAGAGTAAAATGGTGGTTAACAGAGGCTGGGCAGATATTGGTAAAAGGCAACAAAATTTCAGGAGGAATAAGTTCAGAGATCTATTGTTTAGCATGTAGACTATAATTAATAATGAAATATGGTATACTTCAAAATTGCTGGAAGAGTAGATTTTAAGTAGTCTCATGATAAAAATGTTATATATGTGAGGTAATGTGTATGTTAACTAGATTGATTTAGCCATTGTACAGTGTAGACATATATCAAAAGATTAAGCTATATGCCATAAATATGTATATTTTTTTCAATTAAAAATGAACAAATAACCATTGTAAATCAGGGACAGCATCAGGAGAATAAACTTTGGCCAGGTTGCAGACTGTCCCCACTTCATCCACTCCAGGTCAGAGCCACAGACAGGTGCTGTGGTGTCTCAGAGTGCTTGGGCAGTCAGGAAAGAACACTGAATACAGAGTCCCATATGACATCATCTCTGTTCTCCATCCCCAGACCTGGCACTGTCTGGTGCAGAGATGCAGAACTAGCCTCTCATCCCTGTCCCACAGTTCTGACTCCATCAAAGTAAATGACCACATCACCATCATGTTCATTTAACAAACTTGTTTGTTTGTTTGTTGTTTGTGCTAGATGCAGCCGCTCTCTGTTCCCTGCCCCAATGAACATCAGCACTAGGCCCAAGCCTTGGAGTGATTTACCTGAAGAGTGACACCATTGATTTGGAAACTACTGTGAGTATATTATGCCTCCAATAAAAGCCTCCTTAGTTTACTTTGCTTAATTTAAACACATGCTCACACACACATACACACACACACACACTTGTAAAAGCAGGTGAAATTATAGATGGCTTCATCTCTTGGATGTCACAAAGCAATCAGCCTTAGTCCTGAGGTGCCTGCAGTGGTTCTCGGCTTCCAGCCTGTAGTGCATGCTCTGGGCAGCGTCCTTCCCTCCTTGCCTGGTGGCTGTGTAGAGCCAGATCTGAGCACACCTTGCAAGGACTGATGCTGTTCTGCTTGGTCACCTTGGTCACTGTTTTCCAAAGTGGTGGAAGTTCTTCCCAAACTGTTGCTTCTCATCACCCTTCTGTGCCAATCTTGAATCTCATGGAAGCTTGTCATTTCATGTCACCCTGGCCAAATCTGTGAGCCAGCTTTGCTTGCCATGTCTACCTGTTGTCTGAGCTGCATCTCATGCTGTTGCCTCTCTGATAGTATAGGGAGCTAAGGCCCTCCCCTCTGGGCTCTGGGTTCCTTCTACTACATCTCCAAGCCTTCTGGGTGCATGGCTCTGTGTAGTTAGTTTTGTTCCTTCCATGTCTTGTATTTATGTAGGAGAAATATAGCCCTTGAAAGAAAAGTTGCAGACATAAGTTGAGGTAGGAGATATAATACTTATAGGAAAATAATGACAAAGATTGATAGCCAATTAATCGTTGCTAAAACTAACAGGTGAATATGTGTTTTTTCCACTAAGTATTAAGCCAGAAATGTGAATTTAGTTATGCATGCAAAACAAATTAATTATACATTTAAAAATGAAAACTTGTTCTAGTTATTGTATTTACAAATTTTCCTATATGATGTGAGGCAGGTAATGGGATGGTGTTTTACAGACTTCTCTGTTACTGGAAAACGCTAAACCTGGGAGACTAACATCCCTCTTAGGCTTCAGGTAGGATTTTCACATTCATATCTTTTATGTTTTTAGCTATTCTGGCATAAATGGAACCCAAAGGGATGAAGCCAAAGTTGTTTGTTTGTTTGTTTTTGTTTTTTAATTTTGTGTTGCTTTGTATCCCTAATGCTTCCAGTCTCCTGGGGGTAATTGATGATAACTGATGTATAGGTGATAGACAGGCCTGCCAAGCCATGATGGGATGTAACTGTCAGGGTATTATGCGATATAAACAGGATCCAAAGGACTGGGAACTAAAGACATGAGAGAAGATCAAAACTAGTTTCTCCACCTTGGCATGGTAGTGCATGCCTGTAATCCCAATGGCTCTGGAGGCTGAAGCAGGAGGATCATGAGTTCAAAGCAGGCCTCAGCGATTTAGCAAGGCACTAAGCAACTCAGTGAGAACCTGTGTCTAAATAAAATACAAAATAGGGCTGGGGATGTGGCTCAGTGGTTGACTGCCCCTGAGTTCAATCCCCAATACAAAAAAAAAAAACAAACCTAGTTTCTTTAGTCCATACATCACAAGGAATTTACTTGTATGTTACCATCATTCATCCTGAAGTTCAAGTGTGAGAAGTACCTTAGAAATTTTCACATCTGAATAGTTTCTTGTGCTTTTCTTTGTTCCACAGTAACAATACTGGTACATTAGGATAGCCATACCAGGAAGCAAACTGGTTTCAGTCCTTTTGTGTCCTTTGGGAGGCAAGAGTCCTTAACACTCCTTCCTTCTGGTGCTGCAGAGCAACCAAGATCCTGACATAGGAATCAGGATCTTGGAAATCTTCAGGGAAGCCCTCAAGTGAGCATCAGCTTCTGCCTAGGAAGTATTTCACCTGTGCAATTCCAGTGCCTGCCTTGGCTTCTTGGGTATAGAAAATGGACAGATTGTCTCTGTTATTCAGAAACCAAGCTTCCTTACACATAAGAGAGAAAACTTAATGAAATGTATAGGGACTTGCTATACAAGGCAAATCAATAAGGTGGGGAAAGTATAAAAATGTGAACTGTTTGCAAGAGTATGTCCCTTCCTGTGGGTTGACAATGTTCCAGGCCTGTTTCAAGGCCTGAGGGTAGGGGTAAGAGCAAGTGTTTGATTTTATCTCACTGCCTGCTCAGGGGTTCTACCTACTTACCCAGACTGTTGTGATTATTAAATGAAATAATTATATAGTGTCAGGCACAGCAGAGGAGAGTATAGTCACTCAATGACTAAAACTTACTGAGCATTTACTATGTGCTAGGCACTGTTCTAGGATGAGGAATATGGTAGCAAGCAAAATAAAAATTCCCATTCTCATAAGCTTACATTCAATTTTCTTGATTTATAAATGGCAAATAGACAATATTACTCATGGAAGCTAAGAGATAACTAATTTTATTTTTATTTTGTTCTTTCCTTCCAGAAAGTTGAGAGTAAAGAGTGAAAGAAATGGAAAAGGGAAAGAATAAGTACGTTAATGAGTTTTGCCTACTCCCCCACCCCACCCCACCCCAACCCCAGAATGATTCTCTCCCTGACACATGGCCCAGGAAACTTCTCTGGACCAACTCAGCCAGCCTCTCTGGTCTTTTGTCTTCACTTTGAATTTGGCAAAAAAAGAGACAGCAGCAAAAGATGTGAGCATAGAAGGAGAAAGGTCAAGTGTTTATTGATTCCACCCTCCTTCCCAACTTCAATTCTGACTAGTCGTAGAAAACCCTATCTTTTCCCTCACTCCTAGAGCTGAAATTATTTAAATTCACAACTCTTCATGGTTGCCAGTCCGTGGTACTTGAAGGTCCCTTGACCTCATCTCCACCACTGTATAAATCCTTTTGTTAAACTCTCTTAGGTTAAAACTTTTGCATGTGCCATCTAATTCTGACTGATACAGTGAGGGAGAATGCACTGAAAAACACTATAAACCAGCCTTGCCAAGACTAAAAAAAAAAAAAAAAAGCTTTAATCATGAAAACATTTTAAACTGATATGAGAACACTGGGCCAAGGAGTGAAAGGATAAATTGTAAGAAAACACGAGAGACAAGAGGCCGCAGGTTGGTTTCGATGAATGGATTGCAGTGTTTAGGCTTGATGAGCTTCTGTAGGCCAAGTATAGCTTGCTTGACCCTCAACTTCAAGGAGCTCTTGGGACAGCCACAGCAATGACAAACATGTGAACAGCAGGGCATCGGGAGGGAGCTGCAGAGAGATCAAAGTGTGGAAGATGAGATCACTTATCCTCACATTCTTTCTGCCTTTGCTACAATAACAACCCACTTGTCTCCACCCCAATTCTAAATATTAAAAAGATTACTAAGATAAAGAAAATTTCCTATTATATAGCTAATATGCTGAAAACAGAAAAGTAGTACTCTGAAAGAAGATACCATTATTGAGTACTTCCTCAGTGTCTACACTATGCTGATCACTTTACAGAGCTGATCTCATTTATTCCTCATGACAGAAGGAAGGAAGTATTATTGTTCCCATTTCACAGATGAGGAAAATGGGGCTCAGAGATACAGAGCAAACTGCCTAAGACACACAGCTATTAGGTAGTAGAGCTCAGTTCTGTAACGCACCCCCCCTTCTCTGGCTGGGATGCTTTGTCACCACCTCCCCTTTTTCCATGTCCAGATGCTCAACTAAGCTTCTCATACTACCATGGAGTATTGTAGGAAAATGGTTCCCACTCCAAAAGGGTGGGGGAAGCGTCACTGTTCAAAATTATCCTGATCCAATGACTGAGTAATTATTTATCAAAAGGAGGTTCTGACTAATTCTTTCCTATCCAACCAGGCTGATAAGTGGAAAGCATGTTAATGTGCAGGAGAGGGTGGGAGCCCAGTCAGTGAAGGGAGAAAATTGGGAGAGGGAGATAGAAGAGAGCACTCTCCTTTCAACAGACCCTGGAGACTGATAAGAGCTCACACAGATAAAATATTTATTTTTCCATATGTTGCAGAAAGCATTGCCATCACTGTATGTGTGCAATATGTGCAAAGGAGTGTGAAATATATACATCAAATGCCACCGATCTGGTTAATTTCCATGCATATAACATGCTTAATACCTACCATCTCATCCATATGTTTTAATGCATATTTCTTTCCACATACAATATGTCTCGTTAGGAAAGAGCCAACATCCTCCACAGCCTTACTCACTGCTATGTTTCAGCCCAAAACTTGTTGCTGGGGCCAGCACAAGGAGAGTTAAAAACCAGAAGGTTCTTCTGGCTAACTCAGCTGCCAGTCACCTTAAAGTGCCTTCCCAGTTCTTGAAGCAAGCCCTTTTTTTTTTTTTTTAATAACAGAAATGTTCGCAGTGGGGAGATGAAAATGTTTTTGTTCTCTGTGGACAATTGGGAGATGTTCAGTCAGAATGTCAGAACTGACCGTTGAAAGGCGGTGCCTGTGGCCACACTTTTTTTTTCTTTTTTGAATGCAGAGCTCCATCAGTGTGGCGGGAGGAAGTGCACAATGATTGGTCTGTTCCTCTGTGGAAGTGTTCAGGGTACACCCAGTTTTGCTTTGCATATATTTACGAAACATCTGCCCTTTTCTTCTCCTTAAGTCCTTCCCCCTCGCCAGTCCCCTTTCCCCTTTTCCCTGGTTTCTTTCTTTGTTGTTGTTGGCTTCTCTAACTTTTTCATTGGAGCTTTCATTTTCCGGTTGAAGGGCGACTTCATCAGAGTGTATAATTTTAAAAGAGAAAGGGAGAGAGAGAGAGAGAGAGAGAGAGAGAGAGAGAGAGAGAGAGAGAGAGAGAGAAATAGAGAATGAAAACTGAAAAGAAAGAAAGAGCCTGAGAGGCCAGAGCTTGGCAAACCAACCTTTGGCATGGTGACCAGGAGGAAGGTTCTGGTAGGGAGTTCGCCCCTCTCAAGTGCTGCCTGGAGTGGGCCAGTGCGCTGCTGCCCTCTGCAGGCGCCAGGGAATAGTGCACAGCAGCAGAGGCTTGTGGAGTCTGGCCTCAGATGGGCCATGTTTATAGAATTCTTTTACCAAAACCAAACAAGGTATTTTCAATTAATTACAACAAAACTTGCTCTTTCCTCCTTAAAAAAAAAAAAAAAACTATGAACTGCAAAAAATGGGCCAAATAACATCATCTGTGTGTCAGACATAAACTGGTGCTGCATTTTACTGTTTCTCAACTCCAAAAACAGGAATCCAAATGAACTCTTGAGAGAGAATGAGATGGGAAGTTAAGGACTGTTATTTGTGCAGTTGGAAAGCAGGCTGGTGTAAAAGGATAAGAAATGTGACATTAGGCAAATGAGGGAGTGAGCCAAAAAGGTTGGTTTTCTGCAGTTACTGTTTCTAGGGGTGGCTCCAATGTCTTTGTGCCAAGAATGGTCTCCAGAGGTGACCCCTGAGATGACAAACAGGGTGTGGTGCAGGGTGTCAGGTAGGAAGCAGAATCAAATCTAGGACAGGAAGCAAAGAATTTTGACATGAAGAACAATACAGTTTCTACAATGCAAAAAATAAAGGATAATGTTGGTGGTTTGGGCATGTACTCATGTTTGAAAGAGGGTGTCCTTAATTTTCTGAACCACTCATATTAAACTAGTGAATGCCTTATCAGTAAGCATCAGAGATAAACTTTTTCTGCTAGGTGATATTTGTCATTGGTGTTTCTTCGCTATATTTAAAAGAAACATGAGGACCAGCCTTGTTCTGCTAAGCAAAATGGTCCCCTTCTTATTAAATGCCCTTCATGGATTCAAAGGAAAAGCAGCCCATCAAGGTAGATTTCACTGCTGCATAAAGAGGTAGAAACTTAATTGTGATTCAGACTGTGACTGTTCTCAAATACACTTTGATTTCAGCTTCATTTCTTTCCATCAACAAACAATTCTTGAGTGACAGCTTTATATAAGCTACTCTGCTTAACAGAATAGACTAGACAGTAAACTCTGGGAGGACAGGAGCCAGGCTCACTTCCCTAACCCGTGCTGGCACATCATAAGCACATAGTAAATATTTGTAAACTGAATATGTGAGGGAAAGAAGAAGCGAAAAGTAGATGAACACAGGGAATATAAAAATAACAAATATTTCCTTACCCTTAGAGAAGTTACTGTCTCATAGAAGGAATAAGCACATAAATAGCCATTATTGAAATAAAATTGGGTGAGTAAAATAAGATTAGTAAAAACTGAAGATTTTAGAGAAAGAAATGGAGAGAAGTTCCTGTCTTGTGAAGAGGAATCAAGACAATATCCAAGATGGAAAGCATAAGTGTAAAGAATAAGTTTGATTTCAATAGGCAGAGATGAATAAGGGGTAATCAGAGCAATAAAAATTACTTGAGTAAGGATGTAAAGCCAAGAATACAGATTCCATGACTTTCTGGGAATGGTAAGGACTTTGGAAAGTCCAGTGTGGCCCACATACAGGATGTGTGAGATAAGTAGGAGCAGCTAAGGAACTGACCTCAAGTGTCCAGCTAACACAGTCATCTCAGCTTTAGTGAATGCAAAGAACAGGACTAGAGGAATCAGAGGATAGGAAGCCAGCTGGTAAACAATCACACAGATTTTAAAAAGTGGTAAGACAAGCTGGGCATGGGGGTGCACAACTGTAGTCACAGTAATTCGGGAGGCTGAGACAGGAGGATTGCAAGTTCAAGGCTAGTCTCAGCAATATTATTGAGGCCCTAAGCAACTTACTAAGATTCCATCTCAAAATAAAAAATAAAAACAAGGCTGAGAATGTGGCTCAGTGGTAAGGTGCCCTTGGGTTCTATCCCTGATACCAAAACACAAAAACAACAAAAAAGTGATAAGGCAGTTGCAATGGAATTGGAAAAGAATCACAGATGTGAAAACCATGAAGGAAACCGATTGTCAGAATTCGGTGGTGATGATGGCTTTAAGGCTGATAAAGGTATATAATGAGCCTGAGTTTTCCAACCTGACAAACAGACCACAGTGAGGCAAAGAGATAATAATGCTAGAGGAAGCATTCGTTTTCATGGAGAAGAGGAATTGGACTTTGGAGACTTTGATCTTGGATACTTTCTTCCACTGAAAACCAGACTGCCAATTCCTTGGGTACACACAAGATTTGGGGGTTAGTCCCATAGTACCCACTCAGCAAACAATGGGTGAGATTTGTAATTTTACAGTTTGTCTTATATTGACTTTCTCCTTACTGAAAAAGCTTCCCCCTCTATTCTCATCTTTACCATGCTATTTCTGCCTTCTGCCCTCTGAAGAAACAGATTTGATTTCACAACCTGTTGGACTAAAAACACAGCATACTAATCATAACACCATATTCTGCGAGGGCAGATTTAACTACCCAGTACAACAAATTTCAATATGAAATAGTCTGTATACCAAGTCCAAAGCCATGCCCACAGAAACAAGAGAAGCATGGAAACAAATCTACTTACAACAAATTACGTACCACATATAATCTTCTTTTTAAAAAAGAAAGAAAGAAAAGAAAAGGCGTTCTAGGGCTTGGGGTATATAGCTCAGTAGTAGAGCATTTGACTCACATGTGGAAGGCTCTGGTTCAGTCCCCAACACTGCAAAAAGAAAAACAAAAATAACCTTTATCTGGTTACTGTCCGCACAGTGACAGGAAAAGACACAAAATCTAAGAAACTGGGGACCTGTCAGGGACTAGTAATCTCAGTCTAGTGTACATGTATTACAAACTAATTTATTAATTTAACATCAATTGTATTGTCCTGGGGAGAGGAGTCCTGAGCTAAGTGATAGAAGAGTCATTTGACTTTCTACTCCTGACCCCAAATAACAATTAGTCATGGTCTCTTTTGATTCCCTTCACCTATCTCTTCGTCCCACAGCAAACACACAGTTAAACTCCTGAACTCCAGGAGCATACATTAAATCAAAAAAACATTGAGAATCTGAAGCATAGGATGAGTAAAAAATTAGGGCCAAGAGTTTCTATGTGACACCTTCCCTCTCCACCTACTGGAACCTAAGCTCTTCTGGTCACTTTTCACTTTCTGTTTTAACAACAATCTTCATCACTACCCCTCTCATCTGTACAGACCGCTGAGTTCAGATTGTGACTTGAAATTATGTATTGACTTAAAATGAATTCTAATTAAACATTAAGAAAGTCGAATGTTCCATAATGGGTTCCTGAATAGAAATTTAAAGCTGGAAGGGACCTTTAAGGCCTTCTAATCCAAGCCCTTTATTTTACAGATGAGGAAACTGAAGCCCAGAGAGGTGAAGTGAGGTGCCCAAGGCCACACAGCAAGTTAGAGGCACAGCTAGTACCATAGCTCAAGTCTCCTGACTCCCAGTCCAGTGCTCCTCCCATTACTCCACGGGTCCTGTGTCTAAGCTTCCTGACAAATGCTAGAACGGTAAACCTCCACTAGTATTTTTCCAGACCATGTTAAAACTCTTAAGGGGGGGAAAGGATGCTTTCTTGGATAATGTCAGCCATACGTAGCTCAAGCTGTCTAAAGTTCTGGGACAGGGTCTTTTTATACAGCCAACAGAGTCCAAATGTGGTGCTGTTTGCTTGGCCCATATGCTTTCATGTGTTCCCAGTTAGGCCATTACTGGAGGGAAAGAAACAAGAATCAGCTTGTTTTAAAACAAGGGACATACTGGACTCCCTCCCATCCCCCTTCAGAAAAAAAAAAATCAAGTTATCTTTAACAGATTCTAAAAATGCCTTTTCCCAAATATGCAGTCAGTTCCTTCAAAGGGCCCTTTGTTTATTTTCAGGAAGAAACCCAAGACAGCTGAAAACCAGAAGGCATCTGAGGAGAATGAGATTACTCAGCCGGGTGGATCCAGCGCCAAGCCGGGCCTTCCCTGCCTGAACTTTGAAGCTGTTTTGTCTCCAGACCCAACCCTCATCCACTCAACACATTCACTGACACACTCTCACGCTCACACCGGGTCATCTGATTGTGAGTACACCAGTGAGGCGGTGATGGTGTCTCCGCGGTGCTTGGAGTAGTGCTTTCTCCCCTGGGTTTGGCTGTTTTGCATTCAGAGCAAGCTGTTTGCATTTGGTCTTCTGAAGTAGCCAAAAGTGCTGTGCCACCATTTTGATTCAGCCAACATCTCTCTATTTTCAAAGCTAGAATATATTTTGAAGCCAGGTAACCAGCCATTTGGTCTCAAAAGACTGATTAATTACATTAGCCACATTCTTCTTCCTAACAGTAACTCAGAAAAAGGAATTGCATTGCTGCTTTCTAAGTATTCTTGATCAGAATAACGGCTCTTCCACCATTACTAAATGGAACAGCAAAACATGGACCTCAGAAGGCCAGTTAGACACAAGAAAACATGCATGTTGAAATTACATAACACAAGTCAGATTCACATTAGTATTGGAGTCTCTTGTAGCTTGGCTGAATTTCTGTCTTTCCAGTTTTTAATTTATTTTGAAGTGGTTAAAGGATAGCATAAATTTACAGAAGAAAAGAGAATGGCTTCCAAGAATTCAAAAGCCACCCAGACTTCACATAGCCAATAAGAATTCAGGTTAAAAATATTTTTTAATTAAAAAAAACTGCCTAAGGGCTAAATTTGGAAATGGGCAGCTTAATGAGATCGTCACTATTGAAACCACTCTTTGCTGTTTATTTTTGCTGTCTTCTCACTAATCTGGAAGTCACTTCTTCAAAGTCTATTTTAAGAAAGTTGATAAATCACGTTTAGGAGTTTTTTTTTTTTCTTTCTTTCTTTCTAAAACGTAACCTGATACTAGAGAAATGTGTGTTGACAATGGAAAGGATTGTAGTAAATTTGGGGTCCAAGAATTATTCCTTTTGGTTTTAAGATACCCAGCAACTCTTCTGAACTGATCTCCAGAAAGGATGGCTACAGGCAAAGAGCTGGCATGTTCTTTTTCAGAATAAATAAGATAAAACCAAGAAAGTTTTATTTCAAGAAAGGGACTCTATTTATCCTGCTCTCACAGACAAATGTTATTAATTCGGGAGTGAGATTCTATACCGTCTATTGTTATTTTTCTGATAGAACCAATGTAAAATTCTGCAAAGAAGGTAAGAGGAGGGTGGGTCTTGGAGATTCCATTCCCTGCTTGCTTCATCTTAATTGTCTCTAAATAAAGGGATAAGACCTCCTGGGGGGGGGGGCAGGTGCTCCAGTGCAGAGAGCTTGTTCTACATATAGTGGGGCTGTGACTGCCTTCAGCTGTCATTAGAAAATGAAAAGAGAAATAACAAGATCCAAATCTCTGTAGTCCCATTGTGGTTTGTACAAAGTTGCAGTTTCTGTAGAGAAATATAAGGGGTCAGAAGCAGGGACTGTGTTCTGTGAACTATCATAATAGGACTTTGGACTCGGACTTTCTTGCCTGGTAGTCTCCAGCCTAATAGTAATTACAGGAAGAACTGGAAAATGGTATGGCACTATGCCCACAGACATGTGCACACTGTCCCTACCTACCAGGAAGGTGGCCTGTTCCTGTGGTGAAAGGCCTAGAGCTTTTGCATGCAGACCTTCATTGCTTGGCTTTCTGCCACACCTTATGGGGAAGATTACATTGAATGGCCTTAGCCCAGAAATCTTCTGTTAGAGCAAAAGGAAAGGTTTGTTGAATAGAAAAAGCATTGAGCTTCATTTATTGTCCTTTACCACAAGCATCCTCCCATCAGGCCTCAGCACTGGCATTGCACACCAACGTTTAAGGAGCAGTGGGAGTACAGGGTCACAATGCAGCTCCTCAGTGACCCTGAGGAAGCCAGCAGATCTGAGCTCAGGAGTGTGTCTGAATGCCTTTGGAAGGAGAATGAATTGGCGGAGAATCCTAATCTCCAGCTGTTTAGAAAGTCATTCTGATTTTGCCATTAAGATGTGTAAGTCTTCTCGGCTCCAACCTGTTGTTTAAATTGATTATACTTTTCTCCAAATATATTTGGATTGTAGTTTGTCCTGATTTGAGCCTACACTTAGAAGAAAATTGTTTTTAGGAAAGATTCACAGAAATCTGTCCATTTGGAGATTGCTTGAGAGAAGACAGGAAAGAGGTTTATTTTAAGCTGTTAAAATTTTTGGATGCTCTTCTTGCATTCAAGAGGATTTTTTTTTACATTCAAATGTCATTCTTACCATAGATTAATTTAAAAGCCTAATTTCTTTAAGGTAAAATATTCAGTTCCTATTTAGAATCAACAGATTTTGGGCATTTAAAAATAGTGCCCTTGACTTGTTAGTCTCTTTAACTTCAGAAACATTCCACTAGTGTGTGGTATTCCAAGCTTTCCCAAGTGCCTGAATTTTTATAGCACCTTTTTATTTGTCTCACCCTAATGCCCGTTTCCTGTCATTCAATAGGATTCTTCCCAACTTACAGATGAGAAAACTGAGAAAAATGACACCCAGATAGATGAATGACTTGCCTGCAGTTAACCCATTTTGAGTACTGAGGAGTGTTTATGTGTTTGTTCTATTGTAAGCAGCCAGAATTCTCTGATCAATGCCCAAAGATAGCATTCATAGCTCTAAACAGGCATCTTGAATATGTGCAACTACTTGTATTGATGATTGGATTATGAAACAGGATGGATTTGAAACATCCCACAAAAGAAAAGTCTGCTTTACTAGTAAGGGTGGGTAAACCACAGTGTTTTTGCATATGAAGGACAGAGGCCATGTTTTAGAGCAAAGATGCTAAGTCTGACACCCTAAATTTTCGGTTGGCTCTTTAACCTGTGGAGCCACTTCACATTCAGCAAAACTTCCCCCCACAATATTCAAAACAAGTATGGTCGAGATAGGCTCTGTGTGTGAGCTGATGCAGTTCATATTGCTCCAGAAATGTGTGCTGCTTTGCAGTGCACCCACTAACACAATCTCCTCTCAGCAATATTCCCCCATTACCTCCTAGCTTGTCACCTCTATGCCATTTCTTAAAACCTAATGGTAAACAGATTCAGATGATGATAATGGAAGGCATTAAGATGAGTCTGGGAATGCAAAGGGCACAAAAATCCTAGGTGTTTGACAGGCTGAGTAGGAGCTGAGCCAAGCTCTCCCTATAAATGCTTAAACAGGACTAAACCAAGTCAGTAGAGCAGACGAAGCTCTCCATATGAAAACCTTTCTTGACAACGACCAAGCTGTAGCACATCACAGTCATATTCATGTGATAGACGCAACCAGAACTTTCACTTGCATATTTCTTCCATTTTGTTTTCCCCCAAATAAGGCTCACATTGAAGGGAGAAGTTGATTCTGCTCTCCTGGCGGTCCTCCCTACTTCTGGCGGTAGATCCACCTAGTCTGATGTCTTTCTTTTGTGGAAGCTGCTATCTGTAGTTACTTCCCCTCCTGTGTTTTGCGCTGGACTCATCAGACTGTCTCATTTTTTGTGTCTTTGCCAAGATGCACTTACGCATTAACAGTTTTTATTTATTTTTAATTTAACCTTTACACATTACCAAACTGTTATGTGGGTGGGTTTAACTTTAGCTCTGTAGGTAGTGTGGTTCTGCCAGGCTGAAGGCTGTCGAGGAGACTATGGACTCTTCCTTTTCTATCTCTTCCCATCTACCTTCTTTGTCCTTCCCCCTCCCAGCCCTTCACTTCACCCGTCCAACTCTCCATGATTAAAAATTTTAGTACACTTGGCTCATTTTGAACTTTTAAGCCATTTTTTTAGAGAACAAAACAAAGAGGATTTTTATGGCAAACTCCATTAATGCCACATTAAGGCTGACATTTTAATTACCCCCAAGTCAGGAAATGCGAAGTTCAGGTTCCCACAGCAACAGAAACTGTCCCCTTGAGTGCCGGCATCACAGCAGAGTCTTTCATTCCCTGATTACACAACATGGGGCGTGGGGACATTGTTTTTATCCACGTATGTGGAAAGGAGCAGGGCTTTTATCCTTTGTTTCTTTCCTGTAACTACAGTTGAAGATATGGGTCTTTAGCGTCTCTTCCCAAACCATCTATATGTATTATCCTGAAACGGAAGACTATTATAGTTCTACATGTGCACACGGACAGAATTAAAGTTGCTGTGGGAACATTAACTCTGATTTCCGGACTTCCGTGCCAGTCACATTTAAACCATAATGTTGTAATTTTTGGCATGTAATAAATGTGCATTTCATGTACACAGACAGAAAGAAGCATAAAATGTATTTTAAAGAGCAATTAATTACTAACTTTGTGATTAAAAAACATTTGGTGCATGTTCCTTCCCATTTAGCATCAGCTGCTGGTCTTAGCCAGGCCTAATAGATGACATACTGTGTCTCATCCTGTATCTCAGATGTACTTACTGTATGTTCCTGTTCTTCTAGATAATTAATTCCCTTAGTAAAGCTGTAGGGGGAAAACAAAATGGAAGGAATATGCAAGCATGTAAATAGGGTAAGGGATATTTTGAAGGAAATGATTCATTTCTGCAAATAAACCTCTTAGTCCCTGATAAAGAGCCAGAAATCTGCTAAGTGGGTGTAGACAAAAGGTTTCTGGCCACCTTAGAGCATCTGGTCCAGGGCCATAAGAACAACTTGAAAGCAGATTTCCCCATGAATTCCAGGCATGCCCAGTGGAGGAGCAATTTTACTCCTTAATAACTTTTTTAGGCTTACTGCTTAAAAAGTTATTTTACTCTGTAACAACTTTCCAGTTTATATTCAAACTGGAAAGGAAAACTTGCAGGGAAATCAGGTAAGATGTGGACTTTGGCACAGAAGGCCTGACTTCAGAATAGTGTTTTTTCTTCCTTTCCATTTGAATCTGGTTGACCCATTTGTGTTAGAGAAGGAAGTGTCTCAAAACTGCTTCAATGGGTTTGCAATTGAAAGGAATTAGTAGAGGTACTCTGAGATAGTGTTTTAACATGCAAATGCTTGAGTACCTACTCAGAAACTGAGTGAGATAAAAATTTTACCAAAGGAATGTGTAGCTTAAACTCTGA